GAGGGGGGTGTCCCGGGGTGGTTGGGTCCAAGGCCTGGCCTTGGGGGGGGGGTACTCAGCAACCCCACAGACCAGTGTGGACAGTTGTCCCCCTCTGGTAGGCCTCACTAACTTCATTACATGGGTTACAGGATCTGGCAACCAGGTGCCCTTGAAGGTCAGGTCTTGGCTGGGCTCAGCCAGGAGGTTGGGTCAGGCCCAGCAGGAGTGGCATCTGAGCCCTCTGCTGCCTGGCAGTCTTGCCTGCGCCATTCAGGTGGTACCTACTTCTGAGAAGAGCAAACAGAGAGCCCAGCTTCCAGAGACCGCTCGTTCCCTTAATAAAGTAATTACAGAGCCGGGTAATTTACATCCCTCGAAAGATGCAGGGCAACTGCAGGCTGGGGTGTGTTGTGTTGTGTTTAATTTTAAATCCTCCAACCTCCTTTAATGAGGAGGTGCCTTGAAATATAACGGAATGTTGGGATTCTTCAAAGGACTCATTTTCCTGGTGCTGTACTTCTTTAAGGGAGAGCATGAAAGACAAATGAGGAGTGACAGGAGCAGGGGAGGGTGGTGCCTCCCCCGCCCGTGTTGTGCAGACATTATCTGCTGTAAAACTGTCGCTGAAGGATGGAGAACCAGCTTTTGGCTGCAGTGGCCCTCAGATAATGTCAATGCTGAGCAATGGCCCAGGATTTGTTGGCACCAAACAAGCTCCTCTAGGGTTCTGGTGCCAGAATCCTTGACTGAGCCTGTTCGGCTGCTCCTGCCAGGAGAATGAAGGGGCCTCGGGAGCTGGTGTCTAGGGGCCCCAGAGCTTTTAATTTTTAAATTCTTTCTTTCTTTTTTTTTTTCTCTCAATGCATAATGTCCCTTTGAATCCCCTGGGCATGCTGTGGAGATGCAGAGGCTGATTCAACAGGGATGGGCCCAAGAGTCTGCATTTCTATCAAGCTCCTGGTGGTGCTACTGGCCTATGAACTGCATTTGGTACATAAAGACCCTAGAGAAGGCAGATGTTGGCTTCCCTGGGTCCCACCAGGTAGTTTGGCTAGATTGAGCATAAAAGGGCTAGGTCTCGGCCCCCACTTTGGCTACTCCGGAAAGGAAGGCTGTGGGGACCCCGTAGCGTCCTGAGCACTCCAGGCTGTGCAACTGAGAGAGAGCGTGCTGTGGCTGGCGCTTCTTTTGGGTTTGGCTTATGGTGTTGCCTCTTTTGCCTCAATAGGTCAACCCTTCTAATGATGCTCAGGAAAGCCCGTGGAAAGCTGAGTTTGTAGATCTTGAGCTCCTCCGACAGGGAGGGTCTCCAAGCTCCACATTTGAGGTCCCGGATCAGCTAAAGTTGCCACAGGAGGGGCCACACCCTGGTGCAGTGGTGCAACTCGATGCTCTGCGATGCTGATCCATGTGGGAAGGCTCCTGTTTGCTTCCGTAGACCTCCCTGAGTACACCAGTCTGTGATCTGGGGCTGACTGAAGCTGGGGGCGGATTGGCCATGCAGACTCTGCTGGGGAGGCTCTGTCTCTCTCTCTCTTTCTCTCATGGAAAGAATAAATAAACTTAAATAAGTGCGTGTGTCAGGGAGTTGCCTTGGGCTGTGTTCACTGGACTCCGGTGTGATCAGCTAATCCTCCCCTGCTTACCTGGTCCACAGGCCCCTGGATGAGAAGGAGCTGACAGCAGCTGAGTCCCACCTTCTCTGTGTGCTGGGAAGCAGGGCTGCACGGCCCAGGTGGCATCAATGCCGAAGAACAGCAAGGTGACCCAGCGTGAGCATAGCAGTGAGCATGTCACTGAGTCGGTGGCCGACCTGCTGGCCCTGGAGGAGCCCGTGGACTACAAGCAGAGTGTACTGAATGTGGCTGGTGAGGCAGGTGGCAAGCAGAAAGCGGTGGAAGAGGAGCTGGATGCAGAGGACCGGCCGGCCTGGAACAGCAAGCTGCAGTACATCCTGGCTCAGATCGGCTTCTCCTTGGGCCTCGGCAACATCTGGAGGTTCCCCTACCTGTGCCAGAAGAATGGAGGCGGTAAGAGGTAGCCCTGCTTGCCCTGGGGTGCCCTGCAAATGTGCTGGCTGAGGGGTGAAAAAGGAACACCCCTTTGCGGAGGCAGGATTGGAGCCCTTGTAGCCGGGGCTCAGGGTTCCAGAATAAGACTCCCTAGGAATAGCTGTAAGGATGGCTGGTAGCTATCAAGAGGCCATAGGGCCTGCTGACGGGAATGTGGGTGCTAGCCCAGACTGCCTGGGTTCAGGTCTCAGCCTGGCCAGTCAGTTCTGGGACCTGGTGTGGCCGCGGAACTTCCCTGTGCCTCTCCGTTCCTCATCTGTAAAATGGAACGATAGTCGTTCTCGCCTCCCAGGAGAGTTGGGAGGGTCGAATGAGCTCTGCATGTGGAATGGCTGGTACACAGTCTGGAGAAACTGTTGACCACAATTATTAATTGCTGACTGGATGCTTGGCACTGTTCTCAGCACTTAATGGCTATTAGGCTTAAGTACAGGAAGCTGCTGTTACTTGAGCACCTCGGAACTGCCAACGCATCAGTTCTGTGTGGTTTAACCATGGGCTCTCACAAGCACCTCCTTACTATCATCCTCACTTTAGAGACTGTAAAACCCAGGCACCGATTGGCTATGTAACTTGTTCAAGGTTATGCATGATTAAGGTTACAGCTGGGGATAAAGTGGGACCTCAAACCTACACAGCCTGACCCTGGAGCCTGAGCACACCACCGTCCCTACTGCCTCCCAGGTAGGAGGGGCCCTCATGCTACCCCCTGGGTTGGAATCCTTAAACCATTACCACCACTTCTAGTGCCCAGGGTGGGTCGAAGCCCCTTGGAATTGCCTCTTCAGCACCTCTAAAGTTGACTGGAATTTTCCAAGGACAGTTTGCTCTGAAACCAGGGGACAGCCAATGGAAAATAAAGAAAATCCCAACAGGTTGACAGCAAGGACATTTCCAAGCCCAGACTGCTAGGTCCTGAGGCAGCCAGATAGCCAGTGGCCAGCCTGCATGCTCCAGAGTCCCCGGGACTGCCACATTCCATCCTTTTGGGTGGCCACAATGCTGTAGGCATTTTAACCCAGCTCCTTCCCTCCCTGCTGTGTGGCATTCTCACCATGGAGCGTCTCCCAAAGGTGCTTTCTCCTCTTCTGGGGCCATCTCCTCTTTTCCAGTTCCTTTTTTTGGGGGTATTATTTACTTATTTTCCCATGAGTGAGAGATAGAGAGAATAAAAGAGAGATAGCACCATGAACAGGGTCTTCATGCCACGTTTCACCCTAGTCTCAGCCAGGCCCAGGGCATGGTACGTATGTGCCCAGTGTACTCAGGGAGGTCTCTGGACTTGAACCAGGAACCTCCTCATGTGTATCAGTATTGCAGACCATCGCATTTTACCACATGCCACTAACTGCACCCCCCTTTCCAATTTCTACTAAAGGGCAGGAAGTGAGGATGCTTGCTTGAGCCTTTGTAATAGAGTTAGGCCAGAGGCTTTGGGCTTTCTGTCATAGCACGGTATATTTGCCACATTGTTATCTTTTTTTAAAGTTTTTTAATTTTTAAATAATTTTTTTAGATAGAGATTTTTGCGATAAGAGTGTGTGCACTCACCAGAGAGACAGACAGAAAGCGAGGAATCACCCCCCACACAGACCGTAGGGGGATGGCCATGCCACAATCTGTTCTCCTTGTTTCTCCTCTCAGGATCTTGGGCATGCATGCACGCATGCCTGGAGTGGTTTGTTTGATTGTTTGTTTGTTTTAAGAATTATTTTATTTAACTTAATTTATTTATTTAAATGTGACCAGAGAGGGATAGAATGTGTGTGTGTGTGTGTGTGTGTGTGTGTGAGAGAGAGAGAGAGAGAGAGAGAGAAAAGTGAGAAAGCAAGCCGCCAGGTCCAGGACTACCCATGTGGGAGTCCAGTGACGTAACCATTATGCCATCTGCTGGTCCCTCAAGTTGGTTATTTGTTTTTTAAAGAGGTTTTCACCACAGGGCACATGTGCTCACCAGAGAGAGAGACAGAAACAGAGACACTGAGAGGGAGAGGGAGAAATCACCCCTTAGGGCAGATGGCCATGCCATAATCCCTTCTCCCCTATTCTCCTCCTGGGATCTTGGGCACATGTGTCCGCATCATTTTCAAGCCACTGGGTCTAAGATTTGAACCATGGTTGACCATATGGGAGTCCAGTGATGTAAACATTATGTCATCTGCTGGCCCCCTTTTTTTTTTTTTTTTTTACTTTTTAAGGTTTTTGTTATAGGGTGCATGCGCTTACCAGATAGAAAGAGATGAGAGAGAGAGAGAGACAAAGAGAGAGAGACAGAGAGAGAGAGAGAAAGAAATCCATGCTCAGGGAGAAGGGGCATGCCACAATTCATTCTCCATTCTCTCAGGATTTGGGGCACGCACAGACATGTCTTGCATAATTTTTTTTTTTCTTGCATGATTTTCAAGCTGCCAGTTCTGGGGCCTTAAACCACAGTTCGCCATGTGGAAGTCTAGTTCCTGACCACCATGCCACCTGTTGGCCTCTGAAAGTTTCTTTAAAAATGTTTTTTTCCATATGGCATGAGTGCTCACATTCGAGAGAGACAGAAACAGTGAGAGGGAAAGTGATAACTCATCCACACACACCCCCAGGGGGGATGGCCACACCACAGTCCCCTCTCCTCTTTGGATTTTGGGCAAGTATGCATATGTGCCTGGTATGATTTTCAAGCTGCAGGTCTGGGACCCGAAGTACAGAGTCAGCCATGTGTGATCCAGCTGTCTTAATCTCTACACCACCTGCTGGCCCAATGCTCTGTGGTTTTGAGTCATGGATAGTTTAGTAAAAATTTGTTTCATTCTTCATGAAAACTCTGCTAACGAAGTCTGTTAGCTCCACCAGATGCTGACAGTTCCTTTATTCTGCATCCTCTTAGTTTGCCTTGTTTATGTTTATTTTTATGAGAAAAAGACCAATGTTCATCAAGTGCTTACTGTGGGTAAGATAGGGCTTACCCATAGTAAGCTCCTATCTCGCCCCAACCCTGCGAGCTAGGTCGAAGTGTACGAAATGGCCATTTTTGTAAGTCAGAATGGCCAGATAGCAGCAGTGTCACGTGGAGCTGCCTAATGTTTCCATGCTCTTTACCCTGATGATAAACAGCAGAAAAATCAAGCACTTCGCCTAAAGTCACTTCCTGGTAGAGCCAGGATTCAAGGTCAAGAGGTCTGACCTCAGGATCTGGATGTTAGCAGTACTCAATCGCTGTCTCATGGGGGGGTCCAGGTGGTCTTTTAAGCCCCAGGAATAACCTCAGACTTGGCCAGAGGCAAAGCTCAAGTGTGGACCAAGCCGTAGACTGTTAGTGATCCAGGGGCCTCAGGGCCTTTGAGTCCACTCCCCTATGGCCATGTTCTTCTCAGATTCCTGACACCTTGAGCCTGCTCCCAGCTGTTCAGATGGGTGGCTTGAGGCTCCCAAAGCCAATATGTCAAAATCCAGTTCTGTCCCCAGATTGTATTTTCTAAGGTGGAGGAGGGTGCTGTTGTATCCAAATGATGTCAACAAAGGTGGATCTGAAAAAGTGCCAGATTAACCCAGATTCTGCACTTTACACCACAGCCCCTGAGCACTCTCATTAGCTTGGCCTTGCATAACTGAGAGGCGTGCAGGTGAGGCAGTGCCCTGCGGCCTGGCTGGGGCATACAGGGCCTGAGCGTGGGAAGCAGGTACCCCGTCTTTGACCCAGGATTGCTCTCTGACAGCACTTACCTGCAGGCTTTCCCTGGTTCTTTGGGGAGAGGAGAGAAGCATTCATAGAAGATGGCAACCCCTGAATCCAGCAACCCCGAAATCTGCTTCCCCAGTTCACTGGGGTGAAATACAAAACCAGGGAGCTGTCCCTTACCTACCTGTAGAAGATCCCTTCTCTCTCCTTCCATTTCCCAGCACCCAAGACCAAGAGACTGAGTTAAAGACAGACTCAGGGGTCTAAGCATGGGGTCCTTCGGGTCCTGCCTCCTTAGAGCACCATGACAGGGCTGCTTGTTAGTGACCAGTTGGGCTGGCTATGCATGTGTGTGGGTAATGAGTGACATGGTGTTGTACAAGGCCCCGTGGTTTACCCGCCCTGAAAGGTAAGCTCCATGGGTCTCGCCCGCTCCCCTCGGCGTGTATGTGCTCAGCTGGCCCGTGTGACTAGCTGTGGGGTGTGTGTGTGTGAGCGTGTGCATACTGCCATTGCTCACGTGCCTCTGAGGGTCCTGCCTCTGGCAGATTGTGAGCCCTCCCAGAATGGTATCAGTGCCTTCTGCTGCTCTAGTACTCCTGCCGCCTATGCCTGGCACAGAGCAGACGGACAGTACAGCTGATTCTTGCCAGGTGCCAACTCCCCGGTGTTCACTGAGATTGGGCACATGGTGGGGAGCCTGTGGGTGCTATGTCGTAGGTGGCAGAGCAGGGTGGCCAGGGGACTTAAGGAGTCAGGGCTTTCTCTGGAGGTGCTGGGTGACCATCAGGGCCCTGCTGGCTGGGTCTGGCCTGACACGACTTAACAGACAGGCAGGACTGTGTTGATGGTGTTGCTAACAGGCCTCGGCTTCTGGCACAGCTCTCAGCCGGGCGCACTCATCTGTGTCCGGACGTGGTTCTAATTCTCCTGCTAAACACCCTGTCACTTGGAATCGAGACCGAGTCTATAGCGAGGCCCAGGACAGTGAGAATAATTTATCATCTGGAATCTTTAGTAAGATCCATTCTACTCTTTATGATCCTCCTGGCTACACTTGCCTGAACTGCTAATTTCTCTCCCATTCCTCCCAATTAGCTGTAGATTAATGGCTGTGCTGGTCATCTCCCTGGAGAGCTTCCAAGCTCCTATTCCCTGGGGCTGCCCGGTCTGCCGCATCAGCATCTGGTTCAGACTTTGGGAGGCTGCTCCACTGAGGCGAGCAAGCAGGGCCCAGGCTGTCTGTAGGTGGGAGTGGATGTGAACAGGTGTCCCCAGGGAACCTCACGAGACGAGCGTGTCTGTCTATGTGTGACTTGTGTGGATTCCCAAGAAGCAGTGTGGTGTCTGTGGATCCTTGAGCCTGGCCTTGTGAGTGGAAGACATTGATCTCCATGAGGTCAGGGGAGTCGAGGAGCAGAAGGAGGGTCCGGTGAGCCAGCACATGGTACGACATACCTATGAGCCAGGCCACTCATGGAGGAGGACCAGGACTGTGACAGTTTGTAGGTGGTCAGAGGTGTGGCTGAAATGGGCTGAGCTGCCTGCCCCTGTTGCTATGCTCCACACACCCTCTGATTTCCCTCCCCTCTCCCCGTAGGTGCTTACCTGGTGCCCTACCTGGTGCTGCTGATCATTATCGGGATCCCACTCTTCTTCCTGGAGCTGGCCGTGGGCCAGAGGATCCGCCGTGGCAGCATCGGTGTGTGGCACTACGTGTGCCCCCGTCTGGGGGGCATCGGCTTCTCCAGCTGCATAGTGAGTCTGGGGCGGGGAGCAGGCACCAAGTGGGAGGGGAGGGGCTGCTCTGTGGTACTGGAGGAGGTCATCAGTATAGGCCAGAGTGCAGGGGTAGGCCCACAGCAGCAGAGAGAGTCTTAACCCAAGGCTTGCCTCCAGTTGGAGTCTCAAGACCATAGAGACCCTTTTTCTTAAACTCAAAGTCAACTTCACTGCTTCGACAGCATGGAATACTTGCAGTTGGTGCTGAGGAGGGAATGCTGGGACGTGATCACAAGAGGGAGCCAGGGACATTGCACCCAGAGTTCTCTGGGAACACACTTCTATCCCAGATACCCCTCTCTGCTTGCTAGGCCATCTGCTCCCCGTGAGGAAATCTTCCCTCTTTCCTTAGTCAAGAGTCTTTTTTTTTTTTTTTTTTGTGGGGGCAGGGCCGGTGCACAGAGCAAGTTTATTTGGTGAATTCTGGTGGTAAACATCATACAGGAGATACAAGATGGGGAAGGTGCTGTGACCAGGAAGCCTGGGATGCTTCGGGACTAGATACAGAGTCTCACACAGGGAAAGGCATAAGGTTCTGGGGTACTGGGCATGTCCTCAGCCATTCAGCACCATACGGACGAGCTCTTCATAGCTGATACAAC